TTTTAAACTCTTTTATTTTTAATCAAATAAAAGTCGTTAGTTTTATTAAAATAGAAAAATTCAAAATTACAATAACAATTTACAATCATAAGTGTAAACTAAATATATAATTATGATATTTCCTATAATCATAGACATGAAACTCGCTACTAAAGACTATATAAGGACCATATAAAGGGGGGAAATAAAAACTCATTAAAAAATCTAGAACAAAATAAATATGCAAATAGATTTGAATGCATCGGCAAACAAACCACAACAAGAGATTAAACTACTGAATGACCATCGATAATCGCACCGATAATCGTAAATCAAAGTCGAACGTCGCGAGAAAACTATATCTGAACGCAAATCGTATATCCAAATTCATACGAGAGACCAAATTAGGGCAGATCATCACGATAATAAATAAACACAATCTTAATAAGTCGATGCGATGTCAAATCCAAGCCTAGAAAATTAAACGATAAGATCAACCAAACAACCAATAAAAAAGACTGAAACATATCAAAAGACAGACGAAAATGTATCATAAAAAACAGAGAAAATTGTACCATAAAAGCAAAATTATTAAAAATTAAAAAGAAGAGAAAATCAAATATACAATATAAAAATTAAAAAGATAATAAATACTGACTATATACAATCAATATAAAAACTGATGCCGTTATCGTCCAACCAATGCAGAAAAGAAGGCAAGCCGCGCAAGACTAAAGAAAAAGAAAAACTAGGGTAAAATACCTATTTTAAACTTAAGAAAGATTAGTTAGACTCAAAATATAAGTTGATTGAGCCATATTTTAAGTGACCTACAGATTTATTTTTTGTTGAAATCTCTTAAACTTTGAACAAGGCTTTAGATTTGGAACAATCTATTAACTTTTAACATGTTGGATAATAAATATTAAAAGCAAACTATAGTAATTTTCAAATATTACTATTCGATAACTTTATCATTGTTTTATAACATATAATGATCGATTTATAATAATTTAAAATTTTAAAATCATTTAATAACTTTTGAAATTTTAATAATAAAAAAAAATAATTTCCAACATAATTTTATAATCATGTGTACACTTTACCCTAAAATTAAAATCATATCAATTAGATCACAACTATTTAATTCTAAGGTATATGTCAATCAAATTAAATAAAATATTGAATTAAAAGTTTTAATGATAAAGGACCTTATTGGTACTTAAATAAAATCACAAAATATTTAATTGTAATGAATCAAATTAAATAAATTTTTAATTAAATGATAGAGATGTTAAATAGGACAAAATCCCCTAGACTGCGGGTTCAAACACAGCGTAATGCCTATCGCTTATGTTTTTCTTGTAATACGAGGAAACCGCGTACGCTGATAAAGTGATCTGTTTCTAGTTGTCCATTAAACGTAGATAAGTACTGTTTTTTTTTTTTATCAATAATGAATTGGTTTTGGAATATTGAAATATTAAATCCTTTTAAGTAACATTATGAGTTTAAATCTTAATATCTAAAAGTTGATTTTTCACCCAATTTAAAATCATGGTTGGAAAATTGATTTTTAACCTAACATCATAAGCTCAATTTTTTAGCTTTTACTGTGAAAAATCACTTTTGGATGAAATTATATTTGTATCACCAAATATTATATTTTTAATTTACAACATAATATCTAACATAAACATTTTATCTTTTTAAAATCATCTTTTAACATTAATTTCAAACAATTAATTTTTTTAAAAATACTTAAAAAATATCGTTACAACATTTTTAAAATCATTTTTCAAAAACAATATCAAACTATAATATTAGAGATTTTTTTTATATTATATTTTTTAAGATAAACTACGTTTTTTATTATTTAATTTTTGTTTTGATTATTTGATTTTTAATTTTTTTAAATCGATAGTTAGTTGTTTAACTATAACATCAAAACATGGCATTTTAGATAGTTTTATGTACGAAACTAATCTAATATAATATTTTTCTCTCACGACCGACATATTTTTCCATCGTCGTTCGACTGCCATTGCTCTTTGTTTGTAACTTAATTATTATCAAACTGATTTTTATTTTTAATTTACTTTTTCCCTCAAAATCAATAAAATTCATTAATTTTGTGTATCGATAATTTTCTTTTATAAATATATTTTAAACTTAAAATATTCTAATAGCAGCCTTAAGCTTTTCTAAAAATGTTTATTTATCGAAACAAAAAATAATCCTAAACACTAACATTTTAAAATGTATCATTTCAATATGTTAACATTTTTTTTACTTGTAAATTTAGTGGACCGTGAAATTAGTTGTGAGAAGATTTTATTTACTACATCTTATTTAAAATTTTAACACGACGTCGTTTTACATATTCAAAATTTATTTAAAATCAGTATGAATAAAGTAATCTCAGTGATTAAAATGATGATGATTATCTCTATAAGTTATAGGTTTCAGTACAATAATTATAAGGGTGTATAAATAATCATTGTCAAACGATTAAGAATCTTTCGAATAAATATTGTCTTGTAATCACCTCTGACAAATTCAAAAATATTATTTTTATTAATCCGAGATAAATACAATATAGTGTTTATTTAAAAGTAACTTTTAACCATTTGACATTGTCACTCACACGTATGACATTCTTAATGCTCGAACTTAAGACCTCCAAGAACAAGAACAATTTTTTTTACTACTAAAGTAGCTTGGTTTTAACACTAATGAACTAATTTAATCCAACAGCATGTCAAATCAGGAATTCATCACCCATGTTATAGGCTTTTAAGCTGCATCTTTAACGCGTCTGCGAAATGGAATATTGATTATTTATTAGCAGTCCAAGGTTAATTAGCTGTAAGCCAAGCATGATTATGAAACCAAACTTTTTTAATCCTCCCGTCTCCATCACTCAAAACAACTTGCAACGGTTCCTCTAAGCTTTCCATAAATTCTAGGGTTAAAAGTCCATAAAATAACCAACAAGTAGGGTTATCGTTCAGTTCCATCGAATTTATTAGATTTTTTAATAAATATGATTACATAAAATAATATGTATCTTTTATATTAAATTTAACTTAAATCCACATATAAAATTGTTTGGATCCGTATCATCAGAACAAAATAATATTCTCTATAATATAGAAATCATTATTTAAATATAATTTATTTATCGTAAACATATTAAATAATTATATTTGAAAGCAGTTTTTTCTTTTTACATATATCACAAAAAATTGTCTACTATTTTCAATATTCAAGATATTTAATTTCAACCTAAGATGTTATCATTCTCAATTTAAAAGTTTATACAATTTATAATATTTTTGTTACAACTAAAAAGTTATATTACAGGGTTTAAGACTTATTATAAAAAATATTATAAAAAATATAACATTCTTGGTTGTAAACTATATAATCTAAAAAGTTATTATATCCAATATAAAAAATTATACTCTTAATTAAATTTTCAATTATTTATCATTTTATTATCAGATTTATATTTTAGGATTTCCTCTATTTTCACGATGTGTGGATTGCTAAAGGCAGAGCAGACGTGAAGAATAGTACAAACCTAGGCTCATGGAAGGTTTGTTTGATGCACGTGCCTAAACAGAACATATGGGACATATACACATGCCTTATGTTCATTGAAATGCCCATAAATTTGCACCTATTTTATATCTGCTCCTCTTCTCATCCTTTAATCTATATATATATATATATATATATATATATAATAATAATAATAATAAATGTATAAAAATTACAAATTACTCCTTTTAACTAATTCGAAATTATTTTATATAAACAATAAGTTGATCTAATAAAATTAAATATTAATATACAATATTTAAATTCTAATTTTAATATTATAAATAGAATGAATTGAACAAGAATAATTATTTTTATAATAAACTTTTACAATATCTAACACAAATAAATTGATTAAAATTAAATATTAATAATTACAAAGAATATCTTGTTATGTAGACGATAAGTTACATGCTCAACTTGTAAAGTACCCATCTTATTTTACATCAAAAAATTCTATCTTCACCCTTCTTTATCATGATTAAAAAGGCATGTTGAGTTATGCCAAAAAGATCAGGTGATTTGGGGGGGGGGCAAATTGATGTGATAAACAGTGAATGGGATTCGATCATATCATATGGATTGGTTTGGTAATCATGCAGTCCAAGATTAAGATTGACTCCATCATTTCCCCACTGCAATTTGATGCATGGAATCTTTCCTTGAGGGAACAATTTGCTAATTTGCTGCTTTTATGTTATATTATATGTGCCCAAACTCACCCACTTGATTGCTAATCTGGTCCCAAACAAAACATAATAACAAGATAAGTTCCATAAAATTCTAACTAAATGAGATATTAGATATTTTAAACAAAATTATGGATTCGAAATATGATATTGTAAAATAAAAACCTGGGTTAAAAACATCATTCCCATATTGAGACTATGCAATACTTAATATGAATAAGTTTATTAATGAATTAGTTATCGATGATTATAATAATTTTTTTAATAGTTGAAAAGAAGGTATAAACCTTTTTCTATTATTTGATTTATAGTTCAACAAGAGCCATGAAGATATGTTGAAATGTAACTAACTTATCTTAATAGTTAAAGGAATTGTTATTGTTTTTAGAGATTATGATTCAAGCACCAGTGACTGCAAGGGTGATTGCGCGTTCATTATTAAATGATAAAAAATATTTAAAATAAATATTACTTTATAATCACCTATAGCTTAATAATTTTTTTTAATATTCCAAAAATCTTTGTGTCTGCAACAAAAGATTATTATTATAAGCTTGTTAATTGAATTTGGTCAGTGCTATTAATTCAATGAAGACCCTTGAACTTTTTGTGGGACCAAACCAAGGTTTTTTTTTGTCAAGTTGGATGACAGTAAATTGCCCTCATATGTCTGTCCAGCGTCAACTACAAAATGCCCCTCTGCTTCCCTCCTTCCCTAGCATCATTTTTCTCTTTCAGGCATTCCAACAAACATTTTCAAGAAAACCTCTTGTTTTTTACCTGACATGGCCAGACCACAACAACGATATCGTGGTGTCCGACAGAGGCATTGGGGTTCTTGGGTGTCTGAAATTCGCCACCCTGTCTTGTAAGTTACTTTTTAGTTTCGAAAACCATGCATGATTTCCCTTTTATTTAGGTTCGAGCAGTTCTATTTTTTCTTTGTTGAACATATATTAATTTGTAAGCACGTCAAATATTCAAGAAAAAAGTACTAAAATGAACGTTTCATTTTGTGCAGGAAGACTAGGATTTGGCTAGGAACATTCGAAACGGCGGAAGACGCGGCCCGTGCCTACGACGAGGCCGCGAGGCTTATGTGTGGACCGAGGACTAGAACAAACTTCCCTTACAACCTGAACGCACCTCGGTCATCATCCTCAAGCCTTCTCTCCGCTACTTTGACAGCTAAACTACATAAATGCTACTTGGCATCGCTCGAAATCGCCAAGAAGCAGTCGGTTCAGGAGCCGAAAAACAAGGCATCGACTCCGCATTTCACCGGCATTAACCGTACTGTGAGAGACGGAATGCCGGTGAAAGAGACGGAAGGCAATTGGGTTTTGAAGAATGCTCAAGTGGAAACCAACCAGCAGCAGTTCAAACCACTTGAAGAGGATCACATCGAGCAGATGATCGAGGAACTTCTGGACTATGGTTCCATTGAACTCTGCAATGTTTAGAGAATTCAACCCCTTGGCATTGGCTAATATTAACTCATTCTTCTTAGCAACAATCTAGTAGGAGATGATGCTTAATGTACAGTAAGCTTCTGGTACTATGATATTATTAACATCTGCTCTGTTTCCAATTATGGATGAAGTTGTGGGAATTTCTCTATTTTCTACTACTTTTTTTGGGGTTTACGAGGTACCTAATCTTGTGTAATAAATTACTTTCATTGCCAAAATTTTCACAAGCTAGCTGTCTAGAACTAAGCACTGTCATGCTTGTCATTTTCAGAGAAAAAAAATACGGTCAAATTAGCGTAATAATGTTAGCATTAAAAATAATTTGAAATATTCAGAGATTTAAGGTATTTATTCTAATATATTAGAAATTCTAATAAAAATATATTTTATAAAATTTGTTATACTCTTATAACGAATTCTAAATTATTATAATAAATATCAAAATCCTCAAATAGTTTTTCATCAATTTTGTTTTTCTAATTTTTTAATTTTGCCAAAAATGCAACGCCATCGTCCTTTTATTTTATTCAAAGTATTCACACACCAAACTGTCGAGCAATGCGCATGTAACAATAAGCAACATGCTACCTAGTTATTACTCCCTGTCACAAGGATTTGCGTGATGGGCGGACCCCCGGTTCACCATTTTTAGGTTTAATTCTAGTTTTAGTCCCTTTACTATATTAAAAATTAAGATATCCTTTGCACAAATGGTCATACAATGACAAAATTACCCTCAGCTCTGCACAAATGATCTCTGTCCCATATTCTTTATTTTAAAACATTTTAATTTTGGTTAAAACATACACCATTAGATGAAAATTGTTGATTGACTAACAGTCAACATATATTAATAGTGTGACATTTCTATATATATTTAATTGCTAATGTGATACATAACTCATCATCACTTTAAATGATATAACACATGAAATGCAGTAACTTTTGATAAACTTTCTTTGTGATGGGTTCAGGGATGATAAAAGGGAGCAGCTTTGGTTGGAATTGTTAGGTTTGAAGGGGGGGGGGTTTAGGTTACTTTTTTTCAACGAAGCGCAGGCTTTTGGGTTGGGGATAAAGACAAGGGGATACTGAATGTGATTGAGTGTTGATGAATTTTATTTTTGTAGGTCCGTCCTCAACAAGTAATGTTCATTTATTCCAGGCGATTTGATTATCACAAATGGTTTGGGAGCCCGTCCAGCCACTGCACTCTCAAGAGCAACAAGAAGAGCATCCCAAGTGCTGCAGCAACATAGAGGAACAAAAGGGGGCATCATTCTTTCGGGATTCGTAATTATTCCTTTCAATAACATTACTATCGAAAAAATAATCTATTCCATGTTTGTTTTCCATAAATATGAAGTTAATCAATGCCAATTTAATATAGCAATACTGTTAAAAACAGGTAAGTCAACAGTCCCATATCCATATGACTGAGAGACTTGAAGCATATTAAGATATACCCAAACATCTTAATTTAATTCAATTGGTATTACAGTTTAATATATAAAAAGACGTAATACTTAAATATTTAACCCCATTTTATTATTATTTACATTCCCTATTCCAAAATTTCAACAACCTCATCTTTTTCACTCGATACATGATGTTTGGAAATTGATTTTGTTCCCCCACAAACCCTTAAAAGAAAGCATGAATAGATCAATGATATCGTCCTACTTTTGATTCAGCAAAGGTGATTAAAAATCGTGGCATGTTAGTGAGTTTACCATCATGACGTGGTTTGAACTCTGTCACCAAAACGTAATTAGGATTGAATATAGAAGAACATCAAATTATTAAATTTAAAAAAAATAAAGATTTATTATGCATTTAGATATCGAAATGAATTTGAATTAAGGGTCTGTTTGTTTCCCGTAATTGGAATTACGGAATTGGTTTTCCCCGAATTCCCGTGTTTGTTTCACGTAATTCGTTTTCCGGAAAATATTTTCCCGTGTTTGTTTCACGTAATTCGTTTTCCGGAAAACGTTTTCCCGTGTTTGTTTCACGTAATTCGTTTTCCGGAATGTAATTCATTTTCCTAGTAACAGAATTTCCTTTGTGTTTTCTGTAAAATGACTTACGGATTCATTTTCCGTAAGTCATTTTCCGAACTTTTCACTTCAAAGCAAAAATACTCAAAATAATTTTATTTTATGAATTTAATATTAATAAAATATTTTAATATCATTTTCATCAAAATATTAATTATTAAAATATTTAAAATATATTTATTAATATTTATAATAATATAATATAATATTTTTAATATTATATAAAATAATCAATTATATTATAATAATATAAGATATTATATTTTTATTTTAATAATATATAATAAATTTTTTTATATATTTAATAATGAATAATATTATTTATATATTTCAATAATATTTTAATAAAGATATTAAAATATACTAATTAATATTTTTTAAAATATAATATAGTACTATTACTTTAATAAATAATTAATATAATTTATAAAATTTTATTTCACTAAAATATACCGAAATTTTTTTTAAATAACATCTTTCAAACATTATAAAACGTTTTCCAGATGTTTTCCAGAAATGTAATTCATTTTCCAGAAATGTAATTCATTTTCCAGAATTCAAATTTCAGTAATTCATTTTCCAGTAATTCAAATTCCAGTAATTCAAATTCCAGTAATTCATTTTCTGAAAAACCAATTACAGCTAAACAAACAGACCCTAAGTGATTTCAGTGATTAAGGGATTTCAGTGATTAAGGGATTGTTGTTATATACGACCACTGTAGGGATCTATGAGAGTTCATTGTCAAATAGTTGAATTCAAACATATATTACGTCGTATTCTTCTTAGACTAATGAAAAAAATAGTGATATGGGATCCAATATATTTTTTAATCATTGAAGTCAAAGAGTCTTAAACTATCGGGTCAGTTTTGGCTCTTAGGACAACTAATCCAATCATTTCCTTCAGTATCTCAACTGCTACTCCTTTGATTTCTCAATCATCTCTTAAACAAATGTATAATTAACGAGCAGAAATTAAACAAACAAGCTTGGAACCTGTTTGTAAATGTGTATTGTCTAAACCAATAATTAATCAAAAGAAACTTTGGAAAATAACAGGAGTTTGTCTTGTCTAAGAAATGGAATGATAAACCTAGTGAGAAGGGAAAAGAATTTACCAACTTTGTTGTCGGACAAGCTCCCATAGTAAAAGGGTTTCCCTTGAATATTGCAGAGCTTGGATGTGAAGAAAAAGTAGTCAAAGCCAATCATGGTGTAAAGAATCACATGCTGAAATGTTGGGGAAGAGACAATCATAATCATATGGCTATAAAACCCTATAAAAAAATTATTTGATACGTTATTCATATACACAATCTTATCTATTTTAATCTTACAACCTAATCTCTAAAAACATATATTATGAATCTCAAACTTTAACGTCTAAACATTAAAACCGTAATCGCAAATAAGACACATGTCATTCAAATAGATAATACCGTAGAATAAGTATAAAAAATATTTTCTCAAACAAACCCTAAAATTATTTGTATCATGATTGTCTTCGTAATGAGGAATTTATCATGTTTTTTTAATTGATACGTTGAATCGAGTAATCCAAAAGGATAACCACTTTTGTTTTTTGATGTAGGAGTGTAGAACAAAAGGTTGGTGGCCTACACCACCGGAAAAGGCCAACCATATCTGGAAACATGAAAAAACCCTAATTTTTAAAATTAAATATAGAATTTTAGGTTAATGGTGCAATGCATTTGCATGTCATTGCCACTTTTGTTCATGTTCACCATTTCCTCTCCACATGGTCGATCATGTGATTTGGTAACATACATGCACATGGTATAGGTCCTACTCTTTTTTTTCTTCTAAATTTTGTTAGAAAGACAAGACATAGATGAAAGGGTAGTCAGTTTTCCACATTATTTCCTAAATTAGATCTATCAATTCACATATTTGTATAATATATATATATATATATTAATTTATAGGCAATGACCAAAATAAAAAAATTAAATTATGATATAAAAATGTATAAAAAATATAAAAACGGTTTTCCCCCATATGAGTGGGGACAAATGATTAATGTTAATTTTTTAAGGGGTGTCGATTATTTTTTAAAATTAATCTCAATATTCTTTTAAAATAGTATTACTATTTTTAATATATATATATATTTAAAATTGGAGTGTTAATGAATTTATTTTTAATATTTTTATATACATTTTTTATCACTTAAAAAAGTTTGGGAGTGTGAACTGACACATTTGACACTCCTACTCACCATATGTTTCTGCCTATGTTTATAGGTGCATGAAGAGTAATTGACATACAAAATAAGCACAAAATTAATCATACTTAAAAGAGATAATATGTAATATAGTTTATCTTTTTAACCTACATCCGCATCGAAAAAGAAGATAAATACAATTCTAATACTAATAAAATGGGTATAGCTTGCAAGTTTTACACGTAGGGAGGACAGCAGTGTAACGAGCACTGCATGGATAAAGTGAAGAATATAGCATGTTACTTTATAGATGATTTTTAAGAAAGTTAGATTTAGGGGAGGACATTGATGAAAGTTATATATTCTTTAATCATTTAGGAAGTTTTGTATATGTAAAATATATGTACATCCTCAAAGCCCTAATTAAAGCCTAAGCCATCACCATTTTGTTTACACTATAAGACCCAAACATCAAAAGCCACATAGGTTTGACATGTAAACTTGAATAGGCTTGACTGTTTTAACTTCAAACATTCTTTGATTAAAAAAAAAAAACTATCTCCTGTTGGATATGGAATAAATAATTAGAAGAAGTGGGTTTGCTTGAAAGATTATTTATAATTATGATAAATGAAAAGGAACATGAAATGAGATCATATAATCATCAGTTCAGCAATGAGTAAGATCTCTTGAAATGTCTGTAAAGCTAAACCTAACAACTGTGACTAATTAAGCTATATCCTGTGGGTTTCCTAGATTGGATTAGTAATGCCAGCCAGAGTCTAACAGGATCATTAAAT